GTTAACCCCATTCCCACATTATGCTTTGTTGCACGTAATAACAAATTTGATGTACATATGATGATTTCTTTTGGGCAATACCTTCCCTCTCTCACACTTTCAGGTATGATCCTGCTTCATATAATATAGCCCCTGTTTGGCCCCCATTATTGTGCATTTTTTATGGTTGAAAATTTTTGGAATAGTGATTGATGAGAGAATGTGTGGTGGAAAAGTAGTGAAATGTTTTATATTTGTGTGTAATATTATTTTATTTGATGAATGTGTGGTTGTAATGAAAAGAGAGAAAAATTTAATGTAATGTAATAGAATTTAATGGGGGCCAAACAGGGGCATAGTCCTAAACATCGCTCCTGCATCTTGGTTATGCTTATGGGTTTTGCCTTTCTTCATATTTCTAATTGCTCCACATGAGATTTGACCTGAGTATACTTTTCTTTTCATATTTTTCTACTCATAATTTAATAACATGGACTTTTGATATCAAGTGAGATAAGCTTGTTGTTGTATGGATCTCAATAGGTTTGACAATTTTGAAATGGAACCAACTTAGATGTTCTTTCTTGTTTCTTGATAATGTTTGTCTTGATGAAATTCATCACTGGTTCTGGACTTTGACATCTTAATTTGTAGGCAGATTATCTCTGTGTGTGTATTTCTGTTTGTCTACTTTTTTGTGTCCTTATTTTTTCAGGAGATTCTTGAACTGTTTTTTTTTCTTGCAGTTTACAGGAAAGCTGAAGATATGAACTACCATTCAGTTTGCCTACATGTTCTTGCTGATTCCATTCGCAGGTATGAGATGCATCATTTATGACTGAATGTATGTCCTGTGGAGGACATATATAAATGGGTAAAATTCATTGGCAGGACTTACAGCGAAATTTCAAGGTCACGTTTTTTTACTGGTATCAAATTAATCACCGATCTTATCAACATAAGTCACTCTTTCCATTCCTGTTAGTAACCCCTAATGGCACATTGATGTAGCAGCCTATTTGGAAGTTGGGTTACTTGATTGAAATTTGAAATCAAAAAAAAAAAAAAAAAAGTTTTAGTGACTCAATTTACAATTCGTTATAAGTTCATTGACTACTTGTGAATTTTGAATTTTGTCCTATAATAAAGATATTATTTTTGTGTTCATAAATCTTTAGTGCTGTATATCATTTGTTTCGCAGTGCAGGTTTGATCCTAGCATCCTGGTTGCTGAGCCTCGGGTAATTTGATGCCACTCATTGAAGATATAATTCCAGATAAAGTTTATGCCCAATGAAATTGTGACAGTCATATCAACTTTCTTTCCTGTAGGGTTAACAATGCCGAAGTCTTGTGTTTGGGTCTAGTTTCAGTCACAGTTTTTATGCTTGTCATGCCGCTCTTTAAAACCACTGGTGGCGTCTTGCTCCAGATGGCACCACCCAGCATTTCTTCTTCAGCCTTGAGCAAATGTTGGAGACAGGTCAGATCCTTGCTTTTCGTCAGCAGATGAAGTAATTAACAAAATTTACACGTGGATCAAACTAATATTTGATCCAAGTAATTAACAAAACTTAGGATAACTTGTGATTTAGCAAAAATATTGCTCTATCGGAAAAAGAGAAAAATAGACAAAACGGGTTAGGAATGAGAAAAATACCTCCTGCAAAGATCCACTTTCAATAAAAGTTTCTTTTACCTGTGTGAAACAGTTGGGATTGTCATGTAAGGTGTTGTGGAGTTGTTTTAAGTTGGTCATCAAATACTAGATGTTCTGTGTGATTCCACATAGCGACTTAAAAGTGTTCTTATCTTATGCATAGGTTAATTCCCGTGAAGACATTTCAGAAGTTTCTCAAGCTCGTTTCTGGGAGTTGGTGCCAGGTCACATCATTGGATCAATTTCATTACAGGTACATGATTGATCTATTTGTGTAAATGGCCTCTGGCAATACCAGTGACGGAAAAGTATGGTCTAATATTTCCATGCACTCTTTGGATAACGTGTGCAGGTGAAGAAGGGAATGGATGATCACCCGATACTCCAATACGTCCACGGTTTGTACCACGATCTTGGAGTGAAGGATCTGACTGTTGAAACTGATCGTGCCTAGGCTTCATTTTGTTATCATGTCGTGAGGAAGTGTAGTCTATTGTCAGGTGTCTCGAATCTAAAGAATGTTAAAGTAGAAAGGAACATACATATACTTCCAGATAAATGGAACCTGTCTCAGATTTTGTTAATTTTTTGGTGTTATATTATAAAGAAAAAATTGGTACATTCCGGCATGTTGTAGCCATTTTTATAATTCTAAATAGAATTTTTCGTCTACCTAAGTTCTGAATTATCTATCATCTATTATTTCAATACAGGAATTTCGCTATTAAGCCAGTCTCTCAGTGTATGCAGGCATCGAATGCTAATGGGAAACATAAATGTATGAAAGCTTAAAAATGTTTATTCGCGATATATTTGGCAGGATTAAGTGTCAGTTGTGTCGTATACTTATGCAACGTGTAGTAGTGGATAATAATACTATACAAATGATACTATGTAGGATAAACACAAGGTCTTAATTGTTTTCCTTCTTTACATGTCTAGTTCAGATGATCAGATATGTTGCATGTATTCGTGACGTTAATGTTCAAGACTGCTTGAATAAATCACCTCGATATGTTATATGGAATCGCATATCTAATCGTTGTAAAACTTATCTGGTTTTCAATACTTTAGCAATCTACATGAGATTAGTAGAGTTTACATCAAAATGATCAGGGGTTCTCTCAGTTTTAAATAATAAAAATAAATAAAATAAAAATTTCTCTAGAACTGCAAACAACAATTTCGAGAAAAATCGAGTAGAAATGCAGAAGCTCAAATATAAATACATTCGAGTTGAAATCAGATTCATCTTTCAGCTGAAGGCTGCATAACCAAGCAGCCAAAACAGTTTACCCAAAATCTAAATTGTCTCTTTAATTCTTCTACAAGGAGAAACATAAAATTACAGGGATCAGAACATGGAACGTTGGACCATGTCAAGGTGCCAAATGACTAAGATTGAATGAAGCCATCATCTGTGCAAAATCCTGAGCCATTTGCATCTGTAGCTGCATCTGCATCACTTCAGCAAGAGCCTCTTCCGGAGTCAACCCGGTCTTCTGTGGCTGATTCCCACATGCCCCCGTGGAGGTATTTGGATTAGATGCTGCTGGATTTTGTGTTGGGATTTGAGTATCTGGTTCATCATCCTGATAAAGTCCCGGTTTCACCTCAGAAGTGGCACAATAGGTATGCACCCTGAAATCACACTCCCCTCTAGAACAAATATAGGACCAATTTTTTGAATTCAACTGTTTTGTGCATATTTTGCAATGCTGATCAAGATTTCCTGCTTGCTCTCCCGTGGTAAAATTAATTATAAGCTCGTGCTGATGCACTTTGTGGTTTACATTTGGTGGTAAATACGCACAATGTACATGAAGATCGACTTCACATAGAGGACAACAATAGGAGAAGGCATTTCCGGGTGCACCACATCCATTGCACAAAAATGAGCCACTGCAGTAGGTTGGGCTCGGGACGAGGACAAGAGGGTGCAACCGGTGGGACGGATGTTTAACGTAGCGATTTGCATTCCCACAGTGCTCGTGGAGAAAGAAGTTGCACCTCCAACAAGCATATATCGAATCATTGCACATCTTTTGACATCCATGGCATCGAAATTGTTGCCCTGCCTGAACCCTGTAGAGATTCAAAGTATGCTCATGGCTGAAATGTTTGTATTCCATTTTTTCCCCTTCTCCCCACTCTTCCACCTATGTGCATTAACCAAGGCAGCAGTGGACTGATTCTAGATCTCAATATTGTGGGCTTAAAATAATCATGTTCCTTGTCTTTCATGGGCAAGTGGAAGGTTGAATGACATGCCTGCGGAAGACAATTTAAATATGTCTCATCCCTAACAACTTAAAAGCTTTTAGATAAGGCTTAAAAAAAAAAAAAACAGAAGACATGGGTTCAAATCTCCCAATCATCGCTTTAGGAAAACTATGCACGTATCACAGAAGGCGTGTTAAAGACAATTTTGAGTAAATAATTTTTTCTCTAAATTCTGTCCGACAACTTTAAATTTTTAGACGACGTGCTTCTTCAAAATCAAGATTAAGATACACGTTGATGTTTGGTGGTGATAAAGAAAACTTGATGTATTGACCTAGTCCTCTTGGAGTGAAACAAAGAATGAGTCGTCTTTTGTACATTCTTCTAGAATTAAAGCAGAAAAATTGGCATTGACTTCAGAAAACTTGTTAAGATCAGCCTCCATGTACTTTGACTTTGTAGATAGGCATGTATCCAAGTCAACTATTACCATTTCTTTTTTATCATAATACAAGTGGTTGCTGCCAGCCTTTCAAGTTCTTTTCTATTACATGTGCAATGAAGAACTAATGGCATATTATGTAATAGTTAATCAAGATTACAATTCTTTAGACGTGTAGATTACTGCTTGGGGAACTGTTATAACGTGGTATTCACTATTCAATGGAGGGAAAAGTGTGAACAAAGTCCCACATCGACTAAACATGACTCTATAGTAATTTTATAAAAATATTGGATTCTAAAAGCATAAGTTAATAACTAAAATATTAATATAATCATAAGAGCATGAGAAAATTAGAAAGCAAGAATTAAGGACGCTGTCCTAAAATTTTGTTGCCTCCTCTTCATGCGGATTCTTTTGGCACTAAACGGTTTCAAGATAAAATTCATATGGCTCACAAGTCACAACTGATTCTCCTTCTATGTGCACAATCACAGAGAGAGAAAGAACAAATCTTAATCAAGTTGTCAAAACTATAGAAATATAATATGAAAAATAGAGGGAGTATTTTATGTATTAAAGTTGTATCTCCAATTGTATCAAACTAAGAAATTCCATCTCCCTTTTATAGTGTAAAATTAACACGTACAATAATAAAAATTAATCCAATTAATATATAAGTTACATTATGAAATTATGAGTTTAATATCTTCGAGGATAGAACCCTAATTCAGTAATGAACATGTACAAGGAAGAAATAATGATGTACTAGTCGTGTGTGTTAATCAATAATATAATTATTTAAAATTTTCAAAGTTCTTTTGAGTAGGGTTTTTTGAAAGAACTTCGATCAACCCATCGGTGCAATATGCCAGATTGACAATGAGGGCCTGAGGGTCCCAAGTCCAGCCCGCTTGTGATTGTCTCTAATTGATTTGCTATGTGGCTATAAGAAAGGGCAAAATCAACCACAGCAATGGTGTTACCATGTGAAATAATTCATATTGGTCTTGGATTTTTACGAGTCTTGACTTTTGAGGGCTTAAAAAGAAAAAAATTGTTGCTCCCTACAGCCTACTGATTACTACATCAGGTTGGTTTTACTTAAAAAATAATAAAATAAGTTAGTTTCTACTTTCTAGTAACGGTTTTCATCCAAACATTTAATTTATCATCAGCAGACATTAATCTTTGATCTTGCACAGATTCTATACTAGCGTTCTCTTCTTTTCAATTCTTTGTATTATTTGGTTTCCTTCTGTCTTTTCTTCTGTTGGGAAGATTGTTATTTTTTATTTCAGGGACAAATTGATTACATTTGTTGACATACAAAAAGTGTAGCCCAAATCGAATAATCCAAGGGATGAAATCCAGTTAGGAAGTCCAGGATTAAGGCTCAAATAGAAACATTAACGAATATAGTGAAGGCCCACGAACAAGGCCATGAACAAGGTATCATCATCGCCTAATCTTGCAAGACGCCCAAGATCTGAGCGAGTGAAGTGCCTTAAGATCGCCCAGAGCGAGCGAGCCTATTCTCGCCCACCTTCGAATCGCCCATAATTTTAGCAAACATAAAGTATTATGGTTATCCAGAACAGCAGTTACTAAAACAGTTATTGAGCAATCTCATCATACTCCACGATCCAAGGATCCCGTTTATAGGCGGTTGAACGATAAGAGTAATGCCAACAGTTAGAGACGGCAGTTCCACGACAAATCAATCATCATGAAGAAAGTAGGTAGTTATAGAACAACAAAGCAGTTTTCAAGCAGTTTGTCATGAAAAAATTCTGAAGGAAGTATAAAAAGAAGAGAAGACATAGAAAAGAGGATCCCGAATCAAACACTCTTAAACAGAGAATATGTAATTTCAATTTTTTAGATTAATTTTAAATTATCCATTTTCAGTACTCGTGTGCTTGCGCCCATTGGAGACATTCTGTTTATTTCCAATTGTAACATTCATCAATAAAGCACCTCTTTTTGGAATTTTGCCTCAAAAGATTTGTCTCTTACACAATCGTTTGATCCCTTTTTTAATTGTTAGCGACAANTCGTTTGATCCTTTTTTTAATTGTTAGCGACAATTCGCGCGAAACAATTTGGCACGCCCAGTGGGACCTTAGTGTTTGGTGTTGAAGATACAAAAAAGTGAAGCATTATACCTCATAAAAATTCTAATAAGGAACCAGCAAGCCAGAGAGTAGTCCAGTCTGTAATCAAGCGATATGAGGAGCAGCAAAACTCTCCACGAACAGATGGACAGAGTCAAAGCAGTTACAGTCGTTACGAACCAATGACAGAATTGAGTTCTCGAACCATGCGTGCATTGCTTGGGGAACTCACACAGGATGTCGTTGAACAGGTAAATCTATGAAATATTCATAATATGGAAAGATTTACCCAAAGTGGGAATGTACATTATGACAACATGGCCAAACAACTGAATACATTAAATGAAATAATGAACAAGTTAGTAGGCCAAATGTGTCAGCCAGTTATGCCTATTGCAAACCACTTTCAAACTAGGACAATTGTGGGGCATAATTCACCACATAATTCTCCTGGTTTGAACTTAAATCAAGGA